AGGATTAAAATTTAGGAAGAAAGTATAAAACGGAACATTCCCTGTTAATTTGGTCCCTGGAACAACAGAAGCCTGTGGCATTAACCTTTGGGTTATTAATATGTTGATGGAGGGAAGGATTAAGAAAAGGGCAGGTTGTGGGACACAAATGGCACAAAGGCCAGAGGCAAATAATCTTGTATTGACTCCAGTTCCAGAAAATAGATTCAAGGCAGAAATTAGAACGTTTCCAAAGGTGGTTCTGTGTCAAATGAAGTCACTTCCCAACTGAGATTCTTCCTCTGCTCTGGGATTGGAGAAGCAGGTATTTGAACTGTTAATAATACTTGAGTCAAGTAAAATAAATGCAACTTCAAGGCTAGTACTTTACTGGTATGGCAGTGATAATGTGCTAACTCAAAGCAGATAAACTTACTGAATCTTTATCGCAAAATGTCATGCGTGTCCCCCCTGTGCCTCTGGCAAACTATTTGCTGCCTACTCACCCTTACCCTGTTAGTGCTGTAATTACATCAGCTGTGCTGCCTGGATTTCACCTCTGAACAGCAGTCCTATGTGTTCCACCTTGGGGGATTGGGAAAGGGTTTTCTCCATTCCATAGTCCATTTCCTTCTGGTTGTGGATGCCCCGATGGGAGCTGATGTGGCAGGTGCTGAGAGCTTAGATCAAAAATAGATCATTATGTGGAAAAACTGAAGAGTAATCCTGATCCATCCTTCTGTGGAAAAACATGTAGCTGTGTTGAAAATGGGATTAAAATGGCTAAAGATCATCGTAAGGGGTCAACTTTTATCTCATTAAAGTCCCACTTTGTTTCTGACACCAGCGGAAAGTCAGCGAGCGTTCCCTGGCAGAAAGTGGTGCAAACAATAAAGCTGCACAGCAGGTCACCAGCCAGGAGCTCCAGGGTCCTAATCCTTACTGACTTACTGTGACCTTGGGTGAGGCATTTCATTTCTCTCTGCTTCCCTGTCCCGTATCCTAGAGGTAACAATTATGTGTTTCAGAGGATTTCAGTTAAATAGCTGTTAATTTTAAACACTTTGAAAATTGAACTTTCTATATATGTTAAGGTTTAATCCCTCACACCTGAATAGTGTGGTGATACTGAAAATGCAGGACTTCTTATTGGGCACCAAGGCGAAGAACATGATGGGGTGACTTCAGCCTGAGGCAAACAGGTTTTCAGGCAACAACTCTCAGTGGAGAGTAATACAGGAGTAATTCCTAGATCCTCTGAACTGGGGGAATGCAAGCTGAGCCCATTAGCAGAGTGGGTGTGAGACTGGGAGAATGGGAGGTTGGATATTGTGTAAAGGGAATGAGAAATACACTGTTGGTCAGAGGTAGCCTGAGCTTGGATCCGTGGGACAGTGGGAAAGAGATTGTGCTCAAAGTTGGCAAGCAAATAGGTAGGCTGAGAGGTTGGGAGGGTGGAAGACCAGCAAAACCAGGAATGAGGTGCCATGGTACCATTTTGACCAAACAGAAGGGTATTTTAATGGTTTGGTTTGGATTTTTTTTCCAGAATTTCTTCTTTGAGATGCAGGGCTGCTTGGTTTTTCTCTTCCCTGCTCAAAACAAGCAACGCTTTCTAGGAAGTGAAGTTCCATGTGATTCCAGCCACTTTAAGCAGCAGCATAAATCAACCCTGGTTTGGGTCCTGCAGCTTGGCAGGCACATGTCTGTCTGGACTCTCCTGTGGGCCATAACCAGTGTGGGGTATGAGCAAACCGGGTCACCGGGGTGACTTATAGAGTTCCTGCAGAGTGGGTGCCTCGGGCTGTGGGGCTGGAAGTTCCATTTATAACTGTTACGCTGCTCAATTCCAAGGTCATTCAGAGGGGGAGTTGCCCATAAAATAGACTTTAAAGTAATGTTTATACTTTGGTGCTTTGTAATTGACATACTTCAGAACTATTTCTTTTCTGGGCTCTGTGTGGCTCTTTAGTATTGCATAGCACTGTTTTGGAGAGAGGAAAATGCATAAATACTTCTACGTCATGAAAAAAACAGGTTGGTTAATGGTTATTGATGGATAGCAAATACTTTGTGATTTACGACAGAACAAGTCAGCAGAGCATGGAGTCTTACAAAACACATGGGACAGGTTGAGTCAGCTCAGAGCCTGCACTGGTTGGCAAGCTGGTGAAGTACACATAATCCCAGTTAAATATCCTTAATTGTTACCCTTATGTATATGTCTTCCATTGCTCAGGATCATGTTGCAGTTGTCATTTGCTGGCTATTGCATTGTCCTTTACATGCTGGCATTGCTACCACAAGTCCTACATTTCTCATAGAAAAGGTGGTTTTCTCAGTGCCATGCAGTTTGTGCCAGCGTGTAGTAGCATCATTATTTCTTGTAATGTATATAATAGTGCCCAGTCAGCACTACCCACTGCTTCTGTGATGTCACCCAGTCATGTGCTGGCCAGATGACAGGCATGTCATCGCACTGCAGTGGGCATTGAAAAAAAAAAAAAAGGAAAAAAGATGAGGTATTCAGGGCACTTGCTTTGTCGTAACATTTTATTATAGCAGTAGAAAACCCCTTCAGATTGAATTAAAATCCAGGAAGCAACAGAACAACAGAACCCTTCAGGCTTCATCAAAGAACATCTGTGCCCATTTATAATGTGTATTTTACATCTTAAATCTGTAGCATGATTATGGCTTGTGTGAGTACTGCTTCTCTCCTCTGGACACTTGTGCTCCTGTGTGTTCAAGTGATGGCTTTTCAAACAAGGTCTGCTTGCTCACCAGGACACCTGGGGTCCACCCCACGAGTACCTTTACTCTGAGCAAGAAGGAGCTGTGCTGAGCTGGTATTTCTCTGCGGGAAGTCACACATCATAGAATGGTTTGGGTTGGAAGGGACCTCAAAGATCGAGTTCCAACCCCCCTGCCATAGGCAGGGACACCTTCCACTAGAGCAGGTTGCTCAAGGCCCCATCCAGCCTGGCCTTGAACACTTCCAGGGATGGGGCATCCACAACTTCCCTGGGCAACCTGTTCCAGTGTCTCACACATCGTGTCACAGCCTGTTCCATTTTCCTCTTGTCCTTCCATCTTCACCATCTCATGGTGTGAGCTGCATCGACACTAAAAGCTTTGCTCATCTGCTGAGCTCCATTTCAGTGTGGTTTTCAGGTGCCAGGTCTTGCCAGTTGGTAGCCCTTGGGGTAAGAAATGGTAATGAGCAGTGATCTGGGGGCCTCCAGCTCTGACAAGAGAAATGAGTTCTCAGATCTGGAGTTGCAGCAGATGCCATTGGAGTTGTGGTGGAAAAACTCCCATCTCTGCTGGCGTTGCACTTTTCACCGGGAAGCCCCGAGCTGCCTCGATATGTTGGTGTCTCCAGCTGTAGATGACTAAATGAAGCTGTGTGGGCTGCTTGCTGTCCGGCCAGACTGTCCCAGCTATCTCTTCCCATAAACACTGGAGCCTTTGTCTCTGGCCTTATCGTGCCCCTGCCATCACAGAGCCCTCTCTGTGCTCTCCTTCCAGCACAGGCCTCTGTGTGTTCAGGGGTCTTTTCTTCAGCTGCTCTTTGTCCCCGGGTGTTTATTGTGCCTGCAGCAGAGTGTGTTTGTTTGGGAGAGAGGAGGAGGGGCTCCTGTTTGTGTGGGGTTTATAAACCTAGAGCATTCTTCAAAAGAGATGCTGAGCAAACTGGGTGGTGTTAATATTAACCCTTCACTGCCCAGCTTTACTGACAGTGCATCTCTGCACCATTTCTTCTGAAAAATACGGTGGGAGGGTTATGAAGTTGCTTGCTGTGTAAGGTGGAGTGTGTTTCCCCTTTGGTCTTAACTGCCCTTTGATTTTCTGTGAATGCTCCACACTTGTATCAGCAAAGAGAGCCTCCCAAATGTGGGGAGATGTAATTGATTCTAGGATTTTCCCCCCAGAGGCCTCCTGGAACTTGTTTTTATTGCAAACACTGGCTCACTAGCCCTTTCTGTTTGCATAACTGGCCTGTGCATCCTGTTTATGTGGCCACATCAGACGATATCTCTTAATTTTACTGTAACTCAAAACTTTATGGCTCAGTACTTTAGGGCTTTTCCTTTTGAGTAAGGTCCTGAAAACAGGAATTTGTTAAATTCATAGTGTTGCCCCTTGTATTAGCAGCTAATATATCCCTTTTGAACCAGCTGCATTATTTTTTTTTTAACCAGGATGGCTCTTACTGTTTCTTCAGTACCAATGGTCCCATATTCCAAAACAGAGCTTTGAAAGATGAAGATCAGTAACTTGAAAACTTTTATTTCCCTTTTAATCAAATAATGCTTTGCTATTCAGCTGGTTGGAACTTCCCTGCTCCCCCCACCCCCACCAAAAAAAACCCCAAACATAACAGAATCAGCTTTCTAACCTCCTTGTGCTCTTTTTCTGTAAGGGGATGGGAATTTATAATATGAAAAAGTCTCATCTATCTCCACAAGAAGCTGCAGCAACATAATTGTCTTAGTGTTAGAAGTGTCGGGACAGTTTGGCATTTCATGTGCAGTCAGTGTGTTTCAGACCTTTTTATGATGGTCTGCATAAATGGAGCATAACGCAAATACGTTAGTTTCATGTGTGATAAAATGTGAGTTTTCTCAAAGATGGTACGTCTTAAGTTACTGAAGTTTTCCACAGAAACTAATCGGTTTAAAGTCAGCATTTCATGAAGTAGCATAAATAAATTTTTTGTCTTGAAATAATTAACGTCTTGGTACTAGGGATTAGAGTTTGTGTATTGCAGCATCTACATATTATTACTACACTGAGAAAAATTTAGCAAACTGTGTTCCTTTGCAGTGGGTAGGAAAGGAAGAAATGCAAAATAATACGAGCCTTTGTGAAACATGATTCCACACACTCAGTCATGACTAAACCTATTCAGACACTCAGGTGTTTTCTCCAAGACTGCTCTAGGCTCTAGCGTTGTTGTTGTGTGACTTGTTTTCTTCATGAACTAACTCTATTTGCCTCACCTCTTTCTCCTCAAGGAACAGTTTCAGCTGCGAAGCGCACGGGGATTCCAGCACCTCGGGAAATATCATCATCTGTGTCCAGAGAGAGAGCTGTATTACGTGGTCAAGCCACTACCAGGAAAACACAACCCAGCCCCACCTCTTCTGGTACACCAACTCCTACCAAACACGTGCGCCCCACTAGCAAGTCCAAGCAAGAGAATGAAAGTGGTGACAAGGCTGTTCTGGAATCTCAGGTTAAAGAGCTCCTGGCAGAAGCAAAGACAAAAGATTCAGAAATCACCAAACTCCGTTGTGAACTGAAGAAATGCAAAGAGAAAGGGTCACTTAATGCTGAAGGAATGGGTGCTTCCAACCAAAATTTAGAAACGGTATCTCCTGTTGACATAGATCCATTAATAAGGACCCTTCAGGAAAAAAACAGGACTTTTCAAAAAGAGCTTGCTAGCCTGGGAGAAGAAAATCGTGTTTTGAAAGAGAAATTACTGTATCTAGAGAACTCTCCTCTCTCAGACACAACAACAAGCAGTGGAGGTGACAGCAGCCTCCCTACCCCAACTACCCAAGAATCTAGTTTTGGAAGCCCATCAAAAAATGTGTCAAGAGGTGAATTGGAGGAGCACAGGCAGCGTGCGAATGGGGGTGCACTGCGCAACTCAGGTTCTTCCAGCAGTGATGTCACGAAAGCTTCCTTGTCACCTGATGCATCTGATTTTGAGCACATAGCAGATGTACCTTCCAGGCCAGCATCCTCCAGCAGCAACCACTTCAAAGGTTCCAAATGCTCCACTACAGGAAGTTCCCCAAACAATATTAGTGACCTTTCTGTTGCATCTCTTACAGAGAGAATACAAAAAATGGAGGAAAACCACCACAGCACAGCAGAAGAGTTACAAGCCACTCTGCAGGAGCTGTCGGATCAACAGCAAATGGTGCAGGAGTTGACAACAGAAAATGAGAAGCTAGTGGAAGAGAAAGCTCTCCTGGAGACTTCCTTTCGTCAACATAGAGATAGAGCAGAACAGCTGAGCCAAGAAAATGAGAAGCTAATGTCTCTCCTCCAAGAGCGATCCAAGAACGAAGAAAGCAGAGCTCAGGAGGGGAAGGTCCTTGAACTGGAACAGAAATGTGCAGAAGTTCTTGAAAAAGCACAATTTGAAAGAGAGAAACTGCTCAACATTCAGCAACAGTTAACCAGCAGCCTGCGGAGCTTAGAAAGGGAGCATCAAGACGCCCAGCAGATGATTAAAAGCTTGAGAGATGAAAATGAGAAACTGCTTAAACTTTTAGAAGCGGAACAGCAGAGCAACAGCACAGCGACCAAAACTCTGGAGGACTGTAAAATTGCCTTGGAAGGTCTAAAAATTGAGAACGGTTCTCTCAAAACTCAGTTGGAGAGTGAGAAACAAAAGGCCGCAGAAATCAACGCGATGGGATGTACCACTGACAACTCTGAGGTGCAAGAGATGCTGAAAGTAGCCCACGCAGAAAAGGATCAGTTAGAAGCGTCTTGCACGGAGCTGAAACAGGAGCTGCTGAAGGCAAACAGTGAACTGAAGCACATTCAGGGTCTGCTGTCTAAGGTAAGGCAGAAACAACTGTAAAGTGTAATGGTTGTTTATCTGTCCTCCCATAAATAGGCAATTGTTGGTCTTTAGATTGTTATTGAGCCATTGCTTATAAATTTACAGGATTTAAAATGTATTAATTAGTTTTTGAGTAGAATCTGGAATCCTCTGATATTGTATCTGTTTCTGCTGCTATCTTCATATTTTTCCAGAAATAATGTTAGCATAGCTGTGTTTATAAATTCAAAACTAATTTCCCTTGATATCTTCTGCAGAATCTACTGTTCTAGTAAATAGAACTGTGTTTATCAAAACTGGAGCAAAGAACAGGTCACTAAAAAAATTACTTTGATATTATGTGAAGAAATACTAGTGAAAATCACTTGGTAATCCATATGGAACAAAGGAAATGAGTAGTTAACAGCAAATATTAAATTCTGAATAATTAATCATGATTAATTAGTAGTGAACTATAGGTGTCATTGGTCATGATGGCACAAGGACATGAGCTAATGCTCAGAGAAAGCTGACATTTACAGCAATGTGACTAATGATGGTCAAGCTCAAACATGGTCAAGCTCCAGATGAGATTATTGTCATAAAACTGAAATATTTTTTACAAAGCTGAGAAGTATTGGGTTTGGGATAGGTAAACTGATGGAAAAAATTGATTTATTTTAGAAAAAAATTTCTGTTTGGTAGCTTGTAGCTTTGCTTCAAGCAAGCTGAAGTCAGTTACTGTTTGTATTTTCTGTGTGATCTCAGATTTTCAAAAGAGCTGCAACATGATGTATCGTAGAACGAGTGTTAATAAAGCACAAACCACTGATTATGTTCCACTGCTACAGAAAGAGTGATAGTGTGTGCAGCCTTTCCTGTATGGGGAAGGGATCATGAGAAGAACCGTAAAATTGGCTAGTTGCAGAGGAAGAGAGTGTTGCCAAAAAGTACCTCCATGATTTGAGTGATTTAGAAAATCCAGATGTCCTTTCAGCTTAAATAGGTGACCACAGCAAATGGAGTTAGTAGAGGAAGCTCCCAAGTGCTTACTGGGGCTGCAGTTTATGAAGGATAAATGAAAAACTGCTGAGTGCTCCGGCTGTACCAAACTTTTATTGCTTGGTTTGGAAACCACAGATTTCCTCCTTTTTACTCTTCCTTTCCCTCAAATTAAGCTGTTTTGAATCATTGGCTATTCGTGACACCCAAGCAAGACCACAGGCTTCTGTAAGGCTGCCCTTCAGTCAGGCTGTGCCAGTGCTGCTCACTGAATTGGCAGCCTACACCTTGCTTTTCCATAGCTGCTTCGTACTCGGAGATCTCCCCTCAAACCTGGAAGCATTGATCTGTGGGCCTGAGCCAACAAACTGAAGTGCAGCAGATTCCCCCTTCAGTGATTCCAGATGTCCTACATCCAGAAATACACTTATCTGCAGAAACTAGCTCTACCATGTATGTTTTCACAATCCATTGAAAATGCATATGGTAAAAGCAGCAAAATTGTTAATGTGGACTAACTGATTGTCGACTTGGCCCTAAGGCAGTGATGTCACTCTTACAATGTGCTACATAAGCAGATATGGGGCTTTCCAGGAATATAATTCCTCTCTGTTAGTTACCTGCAGAGATTGGTTTGGAATTATGGTCATCATAGAGAAAATTTAATTTCCTTTGTAGCATCTTGTTTTATTATCTTTATTACCAGGAAAGAAAACTGACATTCATAGCTCATCGATGTTTCCTGAAACTGTCTCATGCATGTTGAAACTCAGTTTATACAATGCTTAGAAGACAGGTTCAATTCTTAAGGCCAGGCGGTGCTCAGTCAAATCTCTAATGAGTGATATCTCTTAAGAAATACAGATTTGCAGCTTTCTTTCCTCCCTTGCAGGCTGAGAATGAGTGTGGTCAGCTGAAGGAGCTGTGTGACCGGCAGGCTGAGCAGCTGAGCAGAACCAACCAGAAGCTGCAGGAAAAAACATCGGAGAATGAAGCAGATATAAAAAACCTGAAAGAGACCATTTTTGAGTTGGAGGACCAGGTGGAACAACATCGTGCTATAAAACTTCACAATAACCAGCTCATCAGTGACCTAGAAAGTAGGTGGAGCTGAAAAAAGGATTGAAGTGAACTTACTCAGGGGGCTCAGTTATGGCTGCAACAGGGAGGAGGCATGTCTTGATACGTGAGACGAGGGCCTCACTTTAGAAATATTCCCATTTTGGCCAGTCCTTTCTGTTCATGCACAAAAGTCACTATTTTAACAGTTAGTGCAATAGAAGTATTATTAGAGAAGGTCCCTAAACCTTATTCTGTAGCAAAGCGTGTATTGTCCATTCTAGAAACTGGAATTCTTGACATTTTGAAGAGCTTTTTAGAGAAAGCCCTACTAAGAGTTGTAAAGTGAATGTTGCTGTCGCCTTGTGGAAGGGGAGCTGCCACCTGGTGGAACGAGTGGCACATGTCGCTCGCCAGGGCTACCTCGAGTGCTCCGGGGGTGTGGGTACTAAGTGATTCTGTACGTGTGATTTTGTAAATTTAAAAAAAACTGGTTTAATGCCGCAAAATAACAACTTATTTCAGAGATGTTTGAGCAACAAGTCTACTCCTGATTCCATTCCTGATCCACCAACAGAGGATCTTAGTTCCAATTTAGTCTATTTAGTGCCATTACTAGAAGCAAAACCAAATAGGCTGCTCTGCCCTCCCATTTTCACTTTTCACCCTTGTCCTTATGTGTTTAATAGTTTTCCCTTTTTTTACTGTTCCTAGGTAAAGCAATGAAGCTGGAAGAACAAAAACAAGATACAGAGAGGCAGCTGAAGGCTCTGACTAAACAAATGAAGGTAAGGCTTTAGACTTGTAAAAGCTCAGCTTAGCTTTGTCATTGCATTTCCAGATTTGAGAGAAGCATTGTATTTTTTCTAGAATAATTGTAGAAAGTTCTTTCTACATACTTTCATTCACCATTCTCTTCACTCATTTCTAACTGCTTCTTGGAAGGGAAAATATAATTCATCCTTTGCAAATTACTTTTGCTTTTTCTACCTATGAGCTGCTGCTACTTTGGAACAGCCATTCCTGCTTCATGAATCGTCAGTAGCACTGAGCTCTCCTCAGCAGCAGTGCTTGTAGTCACACCACAGATCTGAACGGTCAATAGCTGTAGGAAGAACTTCGTACTTTTTGTATTGGAGTGGAGAGTTTAGCATCAGTTCCTTTGGCAACCCTGTTGGTACAGTGTAAAGAGGCAAGTTTAGTTTGACCTCAGCATCATCTTGAAATTGTGGTGAAATCCTGGTCTCTTGTGATCAGTGAAAGAGAGATCAGTAACTAAGTGCTCAGCTCAAGTAGGTGCATTTTTACATCAAACAGTTTGGGGTTCTGATTGCTCTTTCTAGGAAGATACGGAAGAGTGGAAGCGTTTTCAAGCTGATCTGCAGACTGCGGTGGTTGTAGCCAATGATATTAAATGTGAAGCCCAGCAGGAGCTCCGAGTGGTAAAGAGGAAGCTTCAGGAGGAAGAGGAGAAGAGTGCCAGGCTGCAGAAGGAGCTGGATGAAGTGAAGGGCAGCAACAGGTTGGTTACCTACAAAGGCCACTATCTGATCTCTGTGACCGCTAACAGGCATGCAAACAGTGCTTTGTCAATAACTATTCATTGGCTTGGATGTGCATGTTGTCTGTTTTTAACTCTTCTGACAGATTTTGTTGTCTTTTATGCTAAGGTGTTTCTGTTCTTTTTCTTTTTGGCGATCTAGTTCTGTCAACTAAGCCATGAAGGTTTTAATCGGCAAATATTAAGTAACAGTGATTGTTGATATCCTCTTATAGCTTTGTTCTCAATACGGTATTTCACTGTGTTTTATTGCCTTCATAACTCTCTGTGCAGCTGTATTAACCCATCTGTGAAAAGATTGGTTGGCTACATACATTCAGTAGGACATCCAGAAGAGAACTACTTAACCTGAGAGGAGTCAAGGAGTATGTATGGTCAAATTAAAATGAGGACTAGGTGGATTTCTTTCTTCTGCAAGTCACGTGTTGACTGAGTGATCAATGCAAGTACTAGGATTCCTCATCTCACCTCTCCTGTCCTTAATTTGAAACCTGTTACGTGATTAGCTGTGTTAAATGGTCTGGGTTAGCATTAGCCCAGAAGTGACTTTGTTGTGCAGTAGACCCACCTGTAAAACAATTGTGTAGCCTCAGTGGCTGGAGGGGGAAACAGTAACCGTGAGCCATGTGGAGATATACCCCGGCATGGTACGCTGTGTGTGTGGGGCTGCCCTCTGTGGCACCATCTGAGAACAGAAGAGACTTTTACAATTGAATCTGGAACCCGTACAGATGCCTTACAATGTGGCTTTTATGCAGTGCATGACCTTTCATGTACCGACTTTCATTCCAAAACATCATACTACAATTGAAGTACTAAATAAGAAGAGATGGAAAACAAAAGTTGTATTGGAAAGAAGAACCAAACTTTCTAAAGAAGACAGTGCTCTGCTCTTTCTGTTTTGGCACAAGCAGTGCCAGCAGAGCTGCAGTGATGAAAACTTGTACAGGGGGAACAAAGAAAGGTGAAATAACACAAACGGTGGTACTGTTTATCAAAAATGTGTGCCAAATTAATTTTGCTCCTCTACATTTTTTCCATTTAATCTCTCTCCTAGTAGATCCATGGTAGAGTAGCCACAGGAACAGAGTGAATGCTGTTGTTTCTTGAAGGTGGAGTAACAGTCCAGCTTTGTTATACATATTTGCTCACTGTTTTCCATTCAGGAGTTTCCAGAGCAGCTGCACAGTAGATGAGAGTAAAAAGATGGGAGTGCTTTTGTGCAGAGGTGTATGGATCAGAATTCCAGGATTGAAGGAACAGAAATACTTCTTTTTCGGAAAAATAAAGGAATGTGTTTAAGCTGCAGTTTCATTATCAGAGTCCCCAGTGGAGGCAAAGAAAAGCTATTACAGAGTATGTATTCAGTCAAAATGATTACCAGACAGTACTTAAGTTCTGGGCTCTGTTTCCATTCCTAATTTGTTCTTAATGAAAATTCTATTGTTTTAGAGCAAGGCCCATGTGTATGGGCAGGAATCATATATTTGTAGTTTCCCCTCTTTATTCTTTTGGGTTTTTATCTGAAGATGTGTTTGATAATACTTGAATAGAAGATGATCTGCTAATTTGCAAATTGAGATATTTATCTTCCATGTGTAAGGAGCATGGCTGCAGTGTCAGCTCTTTGGCATAAGAAGCCTGAGTTGCAAATACTGCTTTTGAAATTAGATCTGCAGAAGCCATCCATACATAGTTCCAGAAGGAGGTATTCAGACATGTATTTAATTAAGTCAGTTTTGGCATTGGTCTCTCCCTCTCTTTCACATACATAGAGATATATGTCTGTCTTTGCGTCATGTTGACTATCTGTATGGCTTGCTTTGAGTATTATATTGGTTGTGGAGCCAGATATACTGTCTGCAGTGGGCAATATTTATTCTCCTCCAAAGACAGGTGTTGAGACCAAATTTTGCATCTGTCAGTTTAAGTATGACTTATTTGACTCGCGGCGTCCGTGCAGAGAGTGCAAAACTTCTGTACTGGGTGGTATGGAGAAGGTAATGAAGCCTACATAAGTCATTGTCTAAACAAACCAGTGATCAACAGCTAAGCACTGAAGTTTTTAAACTGTACTGACCTATAAAACAAATTCTTGAAGTTGCCAAAGCTCCTGCTGAGAGCCAGTTCTACACTCCCAGTTCTTTGCATTCCTGAGGTCACCATCTTCCCCAGCACCTCGGCTTCTTCCACCCAGAAAGTTCTGGTTATACTCTCGTCATTCCTTTAAGCCAGTTTTCACAAATGCTACAGCTCACAATCAGCAGTACGTTCTGGTACCTGTGGTGACTTTTAATGCACGCTCAGCACTGGTGGAAACAGTTTGTAGCATGATACCTTAACACAGTCTATAAAGTATTCCTCATATTTGCTAATGCTGAGCAGCTGTGCACTCGGCTGAACATCTGACAGTCCCTAGTGAAAGTTTCCTGTCTGATTTTTAAGCTCTGATTGGAAAATGTACCTTCCAAATAGCTTGCTGCTCAAAGGTTTTTGGCAAAATCTCAGCCATCTCTTGAGGGTCATTAGACTCCACCTCATAAATTGATCTTGAAGCCAATTTATCTCCTACGACATCCTGCCATTTTAATGTTTGCCTGTGGCTGCCTGAGTTCCTGCCTCCAAGTTTCACCGTTACAGTCTTCTAATCAAACAAAAAGTCATTTTTGGTTCAGGAACAGCCAAAGAACTTGCAGAAAAAAATCCTGATGTGGTCATCAGAGTTCATCTGAATGAAGGTAAGCGCCTCCCAAAGGCATCTTTAACACAGATTAAATGTCTAATTCTATGACTAAGAGTGTTGGGGGGAGGTTGGACCAGCATCAAACAAAGGGAATAAGGAAGAGAGGAATTAACTTGTCCCAAGTCAGTACTGATTGAAACCTATGACTTGGTTGACCTGTGTTTCAGACAGTTTTCTATGATATTTTACATCCTAATTAATGTTATTTCTCGGCAGTAAAAAGCAGAAGCTTACAGTCCACTGTCCTATAACTGTCTCCTCACAGGTGGTGGAAATTGAAATTATGTAGTCTCTATCCTTGGAGGTTTTCAAGATCAGACAGGATAAGACCCTGAGTAACTTGGTTAGACCTCCTAGCGGGGCCTGCTTTGGAAGGAAGGTAGACTAGGGGAATTCCTGAGGTCCCTTCTAACACGAATTATCCTATGATCCCAGAGCAAGTTGCACGTTTTCAGAATGCTCACATTGGAAATAAATATTAGATCCTAAAACAGAACAAAAATTAAAGTGGTGGAAAAAAAATGCTTTATTTGGTTTGTAAAACAAAGGAAGAAAGTTACTGCTGAAAGTACCCAAATTATGGATGGCTCTTTTTGGCTTCATTACACACCCATTTCCAAGCCTTTCTGGCCATACGCTGTTTAGCAGCTGTGAAAGTATCAAGATCTTGCTTTGACTCTTTCCCTTCAAGTTCTTGGAATGATTTGGCACTATAACATTGTGTGCCTTCAACCAAGAACATGGAGGGAAGGCAGTTGGGCTGGGAGTAGTACTCAGAAAAGAGAGAATTTATATCTGTATTTAAATGACAACTAATTAGAATAACAAAAAAATTAACCAAATCTTCAAACGGAGGCCTAAAGTGAAGATTGTGATGTATCCCACTAATTTGCTTCTATTCTTCCTCCTAAAGTCTCAAATGCCGCAGCATGGCAGTGTTACATGCTTTTTCTCCTGGAAATAAGCTTGTACTCTCTGTGTATTAAACCCTGCTGTCAGTCTGTATGTGCTGATGTGCTGCTCATTTGTGCCTGTGTTTTGCAGCTGTTCTGTCTTGATAGAGGTTTGATAGTTCATTCTGCTCTCACCAAAAGTTAAACTGGAATGTCAGAGCAGGCTCCTCAAAGTGCTCTAGTTAGTGACTAGTTCAGTGACTCCTCAGAGCAGTGGTTTGCTTCTGTTTGGGGGTTTTGGGTTGGTTTTTGGGTTTGTTTTGTTTTTACACTGGATGGAGATTATTCCATCCCCTTAAGTGTAAGGACCCTGAAACAGAAACTCTGAAGTAGAGCAGTTCTGGTTGCCTGGATGGGTACATATACAGATTTTGAATGAATAGTCCTAAATGATTAGAGGAGAAGAAAGCCAGGAATGCCACTGTCCCTGTCCTTTGAAACTGGTTGCCTGGTTTCAAATGCTTAATTTCTGCCAGAGCAACACAGATTTTTTTTTTTCTTTTGTATTTTGTATTGTTGTTTGCCCATTATATCCCAAAGCTGAGTTAGAGTGTTAAGCCACACCATCAGCATTTTCCCCTCTCCTTTATTTAGTGATGATGGGCTGATAAACTGTAAGATAGAGGGCTGTACCTCAGTATGGGCATTGTATTGCTTCTTATAACTTCCCTGATTGTTGTCTGTATTTCCATAGGTGCCTGATCTCTACCAGCTAACACAGCCCTGAGGGGATGCACAGCCAGGCCTGTGAGACACTTCAGGACATACCTTCAACTTGCAGCTGAAAAAGGGAAGTTTCAATTCAAGAAAGCACCTCCAGTTTTTTATTGCCCTGCAAAAGTCAAATGTGTCGTAAAGTGTGAATGCTGCTCAGGTCCATCTCCTCCCCATGGGCAAGAGCCTATTTCTTTGTTTCAGAAGGCTTCTCTCTTCAGAAGACTCCATGAAGTGGAAAAAGTTCTGAATTAATCTAAAGCCAACTGGGCCACAAGAAGTAATCACAGACATTTGGGGAACTGAAGTAACTGAGGGCTCTTTTGGAGGGATGGGAGTATTTGCCCTGAAACAAATTCAAACATGCCATTTTAAGCTTAAGCAAAAAAGTAAAACTGTGAGTGTGTATGTTTAATTTCTAAACCTTAATGCACATACACTTTTGAGTTCTCTATATAGTATAGTATTCATAGCTCTATCTGTGTGTGTCTAAATACATGTATGCATACAGATCAGTATGTGTATATACACACACAAACTCCAGGATAGGCTACTGAAATCCAGCAGGAAAACTGAATAGAAATGTGAAGTTATCTATTCAGTATCAGATGGTTTCAGTCTTTTAACATTGTATTGACAGGGCACTTGCCACTGGGTGGCACATCTGACTCAGTGTGTGCTAGGAAGTGGGGTGGTGCCTGAGTCCTGCTATGACTTTCACAGACAATGTCCCCTCTGAGGTTTGTCCTGGCTGTGAGAATTGCAGATGGAGAGATCGTAAGGAAAAGAAATGAATATATCAAGCCCCTACTAAATATCCTCTCAGAAAGGAGTTTTCCTCCTACCTTTAACTCAGGTGAAGTATATGATGATCAGGGAGAACTTGCTGAAGTTCAGCTTTTGCAATCGGAGACCACCTGGAGACAGCTTTACTTGGATGCTAAGGAGAAACTCAGAAGTCACCGTCTCTACCAGGAGATCATCAGGATTCATTCCAGGACTGGAATTTCATGTTTTGGCTGTGGGATTCCCATCCTTTCCTCTTGGATGTGAAGACCTAGCAAGGGCCTGGTCTGAGAGCAGGCTGAGCTAGTAGAGAATTCTGCGGGATGTCCTGGCTTTGGCATGGCCTTCACCTTTGTGCCGTGCTACCGGAGTGTATGCATATATGCACACTCGTGTTGCCTTTCTTTCCTGTGCTGACAGTTGTTGAATGTTGGTTTTTATGTTTAAGAAATATATATTGAAGTGCCCAATAAATGTTTAAGTGTCTGGAATTGTCTGCTGCCTGCCCTTGGCCTCTCTTCTGTTCTGTGCATCAGTAGCTGTGTGTCTCTTCTTTGTGTCCCTTAGAGTTCAGGAGGATTCACAACAATGACAGGAACTGTGTCAAAGACCAGATTGTGGAGTAATTATTTCTGAAAATATGGTCCTTTGGTCCTAGGCCACCTGTGACAAAGACATCATCAGAGCAGTTTAGAAATTTCATAAACACATGAAGGCTGCTGTTGCCAAAAATCTATACATTAAGCACAGAAAGACTTATACCTTGTTGGTGGTCTGTTGTCCACATATTCCAAACCTGGAAAACAAGGAGACTAACTCTTGCCACTAGAGAAAGCTTCACTGCACCTACTTCTCTCACCAATGAATGAAACTAAGCAATCGTTTTGTGAAAAGGACTGCACATTTTAATTCCTTTGTGGTTAAAGTGCTCTGCTTCCTCCTGGAGCTGCTCCACTTCAGCCAGCTGCACTTGCAGCATTTATCTATGTAAACCATTCATTCTAGTTTCAAGGAAAGCATACAGCAGTAGATGACATTTTGTTCAAATCCATCCTTTTTGTAGCAGAGCTTGCTTAGTCTTCTTGGATGGCCTAAGCTATGCTAAGATGAATAAATTCTGTGCACAAGGAGTCATTTTTGATTTGAAGTTACGGCTTGTCGTTAATCTTTCTAAGTCATGTTCTTCTATACTGTCTGCCTGAATTAGCTTGCTACTCTGCAAGTTAAGCTCTTACTCTTCTGCTTCTCTATTAAGAAACCCATATATGTATACATACATGCATCCCCTTCTCATACAGTTTTTTTTCTCTTTAAAAATGGAAGGTACTTGTCAAGTTTTATAACTCTCCGTTGTTTGGGTGGCACATGTGGTTTCAGTTGAAGCACTGTTCTTCCTGCCTTTCATGCCAAGGTTCGCAGCATGAGAGGTCTCAGTTTTCTGATGTGATTCTGTTTAATCTAGGAGGTTGTTTCAGGGTGCATTAGAAGCCTATTAGAAATATACAGACCTAAGATTACGGGAAGCATTCTAACCAAATTGGAACCGGTAGTAGCTCCAGCACTTGTCTTCATAATTGCTCTGTACAATGACAGAATAATGGCACGTGATTTCTCAATTGACTTCTCTGTGGCACGGCACAGGGACTGGTCTAGGTACTCTAACTGCATTTTACGTGCTTGCATCCTTTTGCAATCAAAAGCTAGACTGAGGAGGATAGTTTCTGAGGTTTGAGCTGTTCTCAGGGTTAAATCCTAACCAATGGAGTGATGGCTGTCTAGACCATACCTCTGGCTTGCTTTAGCCTCAAAATTTGCCAGTTGGCCAACAGGCATTTACTGTTCCTTTCTTAGCCTGATAATAGTCTGCAGACTTTGTGCCCCATACTCTTGTTACCTGGATAACTGGACAGAACTCTTCCAAATAGGTGGCCTATTTAATTCTTGAAAGTGTAGCGGATTGCATTGGGTAGTTTGGTATCTCAAGGCAGAAATCTGTTCCTTTGTACTTTGCTAGAAGCAGGACTCCTCCTTTAGCTTTTGTGTTTTCATATAACCGGAGTGCAGATACTGTCACCTGTTGATGTGTTGTTTATGCTTTATGAAGCCCCAGAAGTAAAAGTGAAGGATAGAACTTGAAGTTAGTTGGAAAAACACTGGGTAGGATTCACTGAGCTCCGAGGGAGCCAATCTGCCTTTCTTCCTTATTGGATTAAATGGAGAATGGAACTGAAATGGCTTTTTCTCTAGCCATCTGCCTCTGCTGGCTCCCTTGGCACACAAGGAGCTTGAATGAATTAGCAAAGAAATAGCCAATGTCTACTTAAAGACAGCACCTCCTTAAGCTCTGCCAAAAATAGAAACATGAGTCACTCTTATTCTCTTATTCATTGACACCCTTTAGCCCCTTGCATTTTGTAGGCTGTGATGCCAAAAGGGAGAGAAAAAGACTCTGATTTCTATTTTTAGCTCAACAGAAGTTGTTCAGTCCCATAGGCGCTTGCTAATGGAGTTTTCCAGCCTTCCTATGAAGTAATTTCTGATTTTGTGTTCATGTAGCTCTTGGTGCCTACCATACTTCAAAGCAGGGAAAAGTGGTGGTACCTCAGAACCTGTAGATCAGCCCGCCTTTCTTAAGCAGTTGGGAGATCAGGAAAGTAATGTATAAATACTCTCTTTTTACGTGACTAGATTTTATCTAATTGCAGATTTCCTAAGATATTTCCTAAGATAAAGCTAGGTAATTACACTCAAAGTCTAACTGAGAGTTCCTGGGTAAGTACAGTGTCAGTGCTAAGTGTCAGCCAGATCTAGAAAATGCATGACTAGAAGCCATGGTTATCCTGTGTGACTTACACTTGCTGTTAAATATGGCTGTGGACCTTCTTGTACTAACTCCTTTAAGTCCAGCACCTAATCTTGACTTCAAAATTTCTTTTCAATGGAATAACTTAATGATCCTTCCTGTTAAAACATGAGCTTTTTGAGTTTGTATATTTTCATTCCAGAATTCTAATATTCTTGTGTCTGCTAGGATGAAGCACTTAAGCAGTTATATGGGGAAACAAAATTGTTGTGGATTGTGATTGAGGTTTCACTTTTTCAGCAGATGCCCTCGTTGATAAGCTGTAGAAGTTGGGTTTCCAAAGTTTTTCATTTTGAAGTATATTTTCTGGTTTATTTTTTATGCCTCTTATCTGAGCCCTGACCAATTTCTTATTTTCGATTATGGCATTTTAACTGGTAACAATTACTCCAGCAGTGGTCATGCCAATTAAATACATAGAGTGTAAAGTAACATCTTTCTCTTTGGTTAATTTCCTCATACACTGAGGACCACAGTAGCCCCTTGGCACCTGTGCTGTATTGAAAGCCCATCTTCAGGTAATTATCAATGATTAACTAACAAGCCTCATCAAACTGCTTTTTTCTATGATAATTCTCCATCCTGAATAAGGATGGGGAATGGGGAGGACACAGCTAACAATGCAGAAAAGTTTGTTAGGCTCAATGATTTCATGTTTGTGAGGCACTCCAAGAAAAGAACATGAACATTTTAGTGAGTGGTCCGTGTTCTGGGCATTACAATAAAAGATTCGTGGCATTTTATATGCCGTAAGGCAAATCCAAACCTTTAATCTCTGCTTGCACTTCCTGTTGCCCCTGACTTTGATCTGGTTTCTGTTTTGCAGGCTGACAGTTGAAGAGGTAGAACCTCTAGAGGCAGATACAGCCAACCGCTGGCAAGGAGTCTGCATTAGCAGAGCATCTCCCACACCGTCAGAATCTGCAGCCACTGTGAAGTCACTGATAAAATCATTTGACTTAGGATGCTCAGGTATTCGAACACTATTTTGTAGGAAAAAAATTTTCTAGCAGTGAGCAGGTAGTTTTTGCCATTTTGTGCTGCTGCTTGCTTCTTAATGGATATTTTCTGTCAGTGCTTGGTGCATAAATGCTATCTGTGGAATGTCACCAATAGCTCCCTATTCTGACAAGGAGATAGTTGGGTTTGAAAGGCAAATTTTTTCCATGTTTTTTCCTTGCAGGTACCACTGGACAAAATATCACGGTTCACAAGGTCCCCAGGAGCCCTCTAAGTGGAATTCCAGTGAGGACAGCCCCAGCAGCTGCTGTTTCCCCCATGCAGGTACAAGGAGCTCTTTCCATCCTGTAGTTTTAAAGTGGGTGGATGTAGTGTTTGCTACAGCATGACGTAGCTCCAGCATGACAACATGCATGTGTTGACAAGGGGAAGGGGAAACTCATCTGTTTATTTGCTGTGAAACATCAAATGCTGTAGTACTAACAAAAAGGATCAAAGGAACAAAAAGGATCTTTGGCTTCAGCTTAGAGGTCGCAGTGGACGGATGTGAACTCTTTGGAATACAATTCTGAACTTTGATCACTGTTGACCAGAAAATAGGTTTCGATTATTGGGAACCATCGAACTAAACTAGGTAGCTGGCACATGAGTTGAAAGACGTGGGACAATAAGTTTCTCTCCCAGTTATCCATTACATTCATACAGTGCTGAAGGGAGAGCTCTTATAGTTTGGGGTTTTTTCCTACTGAAGCATAAGAGCTCTGGAATATAGTACTTCGTAACAGAAAGACTACTTAACACGTGTGAGCACATTTCCTTCAAAGAGTCAGCAGAGGAAGTTTAAAGAATGGGATTAAACAGAGGTCTAGGAACCTTCTGTTAATGCCTGACTGAGGGGGTATTAACACTGAAAAGTGATGCTGGAGCTGCAGAGACAAGAATCCTTCTGGCTCATGATTCAGGGTGTTGGGGACAGAGACAGGGTTAGGAACAGGCATTCTTACTTTAGGTTTATGACACTAGATTGTTTGGCAAGAGAAAAAAATGGTGCAAATAGAAATGGAACCAATATATTGCCAGCTAAAATATTTTTTCCTTTTTTCCTTTTATTTTTCACAACCATTTATCCAGTTGATACTTAGTTGAAAAGTTTCTGTATCCCTCCACCTGCTTTGTGATCTTGAGATAGCAGAGACATGTCTTCTTCCCCCTTGCTTATTTAAGCATGATGGCTAGTATTTTTTTAATTCTCTTTTGTACGTTTGTTTCACAGAGACATTCTGTTTATAATAATGCCAAGCCAGCCAGCAAAGGTGTTGCCAGACACACAGATCTTTCAGACCTTCCTCTTGCAGGTAAGTTGCAGTAAACATACAAACGTTGCCTCTTTACTAGCAAAAGCTTGTTATTAACTGTTGGCCTGTGCCTGAGCCATTTTTCCTCTTCTCATGTGATCAAAGGAAACGTGAAAAAGTGTCTTCAGAGTCTTTGTTTCAGAGAGCTTATTAATTTTGTCTTGTTTTCATTCCCATCTTGATCGTAGCTTTAGAAAACTAAAAAATAGCTGATTTATTATGCTTTGCCAACACAAACTTGCCTTCTTTATTCCAAAGTATCTATGGCACCTCTCTAATCCATGCTGTGGAACTGGAGAGGATTGGATTTTGTTCCACATGTATGTATCTGGAACAAGTCCAAAGCACTGTCTTCTGAGGGTTTATTTGTTTTTAAATTGAGCTTCATTTGAAATACATCAAACGTTTCAGATACCGATGTGACTGTTTTAGGAGAAGTCATATTTGGGCTCGAAATAGTTTGTTTTGAAAGTTCTCAAGAGATGCGTTTGTTTTTATTTCACACTTTGCTTTTGTTCTCTTGTCATTTAATATTCTTTTCTCCCAGTGTTTGTTTCCCATTTTCTCTAGGGCCCTTTATTTTGATTATCTAGTCCTGAATGTAGTTGTTGCGTTGGAATCAAAGCTAGTAACAACAGATTATTGAATATTTAAGGACAGATGAAATCTTATATTCCTTTAGTGAAACCTCAGTGAAACTGCAGGGAGGGACAAAAAAAATCAGTCACAGCTTGTTCATTGGTAGACTGGATTTTCTGTGTTTGCTGGTACAGGAGAGAAATTAGAGTCTGTCTTCATTTTTAGACTTTTCAGATAATCTGCTAAGATTCCCCTTCTGTCATTGAAAGATGAAAAGGCAGTGGATCTGAACAGCAAAACAGGTTATAGGGCAGATGACAGCATAAACAAATAACATCTTGTCTTGTGCTACTGGCTTCTCCTGCAGGAGTAAATGTTAAGCAAGCAGAAGTTATCAGGGGAACAGAGAGAGTTTACTTATTTGTAAATAAGTCCTTAGTAATAAATATCCCACTTCAGGCCATGGATAACTGCTATTATTACCCATAGACAATTGTTCTGTGAAAATCTGTTGAAATCAACAGATATTTTATTAGCCATTGTATGGTAAAAATTTATGGTTGCTTATCTAACAAGTTCCTGTGTTTACAGCTTCTCTTTGTACCTGGGTTTAATTTAGTTCCAGTAATCCATAGCAAAGGCTTACTCACTGTAAAGTTGTAATAGCTCTGGTTCCAATCTAAATAATCCTAGAAGGCAGTTGATCCAAGCCCTATGCAAACAGCACTGAATTAAAAAATATCCCCAAGGAAATTCAGAGTGAAGTAGTCTCCATCATAATAATCTTCTGACTGATTCCATCTGACCAGTATCACAGCAGGGTTCTGTGATGTCCTTAATATGACCCAAATGTTACATGGTTGGAGAGGAGAATGGATTACTTCGCAGAGAGTGCTGATCTTTGGCTGTGATCTTTTTCATTTAGAATCAGAGGTTTACTGGTTCTGTCCTGGAGTTTCTAGCAGCCAGAAATGAGTCAAAGGAAGTATATTACTCATGCAAGTGAGACTCAAAATACAAAACTGGATACTGTTAACTTGCACCACTTCTGGCACTACTGTAAAATTCAAGCCAGTGACCACAACATTTCTTTTAAAAGTACAAATAGATAGTACTAACAGTGTAATTTTTTTTCCTTAATCATGTTGCATATTTTTCATATGTTTATTATCCTGTTTTGCTTTCCAAATGACTCTTAATATGCTCTTATCTTCTCCCTCTTTCCAGCTAGATGCTTCCAATAGCCTTTATTCCTATCTGGGATCCTTCCTTCTCCTTCCTTTTTCTGTGCTGTGCATGAACACATCCTGCATGATTGGCACAGCACTTCCTAATTGGACCGTGCCATTAGCCAGTCCAATTATGTTAATGACAATTTAATAGTGCTTTTATTTATTTTTTTTATATGCCTTTTGGGGTAGATCTGTTTTTCTAAGGAGGATATTCCTAAGTTTAAAACAGTCCCAAGAACCATTCATTGGATGTCTTTTTGATTGATGTGGCTATTTTAATGTGAGGCAGTTGCCCATAAATTCAACCTAACGAAGATCTAGGAGAATCATGCATTTGGAATATGTAGCAGAAAACCAACAAAAAGCTTTTTGAAAAGTATGCTGTGGGCTCTTTCTTGTTTGTTATGGATTCATGGTGCACACAGAGAAGGGATAAGGTAACTGCAAGGAAGGATGACCCTGACTGAGCAAGGTGTGTACAACTGAATGCAACAAAGCTCTGCCAACAGCCAAGTTGCTGGAAAGGAGACAGTCTCATGGGACTGGATTCTGTCCTTTTCCATCTGGACTTCTTAATTGAAAGGAGCATAGCAGCCCTTTGTGCTGTGGAAAGAAGGTGCAGAATTGCCTATAGCTCTCAGCAGCTACAGATGCTGTTTCAGTCTCACAAAATTCAGGAGCCAAAGCAAGGGCAGCTGCAGGCCTGTTGGAAGAATGTGTTTATCTGGTAGCTGCTGATACACACACCCAGGTTACTGCTGAAGAGAAATTTAGGACTGATTTAGTGATACTAGCCTTTGCTGAAGGTGAGATAAGAAGGAATTCACACCTCTAAACGACACGGCATTAACTGAGAATGAACACAGGGAGGTGACTGAGATAAGTTGGGTTTGGGGGATAATTTGATTTCCATGATCTTTGGCTTGTCTTCAGAAACCTATCAACATTGGATTCTATGGCTACTAATTTTGTTGATTTCATTTTATTTATATATATGTGCACATATATAAATACATAATGATATATATTATATAAAAATATGTAATAAAAATATAGATGCATCTGCTATGAATTTATTAAGGTTTCCCAAAGTCCTGTTAGATAGGATGCCAAGCATCATGTTGCAATAAGTGTCTTTTACTGCTGCCTTGAGCTGGATTGTATTCAGGAGACCAGAGGCTTTCTTGTTACAAGTCTGCTTATGGCAGAAAATAAATTATTGTACTAGGGCTGGTCAGTCATCTGGTGAAGATATCTGGTGATCAGCTTTTGAACCTTTAAGACTGTAGATTTTGGTATTTCCCCTCATTCACCTGAGGCCCCTACCCCCCAGCAGGAGTATCAATCACAGGAAACCAGGCAGTCTTTACTGTTGAAATCATCAAAGCCATTCCTTGTTATGATCACCTCTAATCTGCTCAAGGTTTCCTAGCCCCATGTGTGTTTAATGAACAAATGAGTACATTTGTTTAGAATCAAAACAACAGACTACATATTGTGTGCTGGGTGGCAGGACAGTGATTAATCAAATTCCTCTGACTGCAAACTGACAGCTTTTTTTTTTTTTTTTTTTTTATTTCCCCCACCCCTCAAAGGTAGGCCTAGCAGAATAAAATTGGAAAGATGGAATCGTGTTTCACAGCAATTGACACGGGTGATAAATCATCACAGGAGGAAAAAAAACACCTTAGAATGAGAGATAAGAGTTCTCTCTCCTGTACTCTGACACTGCTGAAATAGCTAATTACTCTAATA